GGTGTCCCCACGGTGTCCCCATGTCCCCACGGTGTCCCCATGTCCCCACGGTGTCCCCACGGTGTCCCCATGTCCCCACGGTGTCCCCATGTCCCCACGGTGTCCCCACGGTGTCCCCAGAGGAGCTGGCCCTGCGGCTGGCCGAGGCCATCGCGGTTGGTGACACGGCGGGCGCGGCGCAGAGCGCGGTGGCGCTGGCCCGGCAGCAGGTGCAGCTCAGCGTGAGCCCACGGCGCGGCCACAGCCCCGAAATCAGGTGAGGGCCTTCCTCCTCCTCCTCCTCCTCCTCCTCATCATCCTCGTCATCCTCATCTTCCTCATCATCATCCTCATCATCATCCTCATCATCCTCGTCATCATCATCTTCCTCCTCCTCCTCCTCCTCCTCATCATCATCATCATCCTCGTCATCCTCATCTTCCTCATCATCATCCTCATCATCATCCTCATCATCATCTTCCTCCTCCTCCTCCTCCTCCTCCTCCTCATCATCATCATCCTCATCCTCGTCATCCTCATCTTCCTCATCATCATCCTCATCATCCTCGTCATCCTTGTCATCCTCATCATCCTCGTCATCATCATCTTCATCCTTCTCCTCCTCCTCCTCATCATCATCATCCTCATCCTCGTCATCCTCATCTTCCTCATCATCCTCCTCATCATCCTCGTCATCATCATCTTCATCCTTCTCATCTTCATCCTCATTATCCTCCTCATCATCCTCGTCATCCTTGTCATCCTTATCATCCTCGTCATCATCATCTTCATCCTTCTCATCTTCATTCTCATCTTCATCTTCATCATCCGACTCATCATCATCCGACTCATCATCATCATCCTTGTCATCCTTATCCTCCTCATCATCCTCATCTTCATCCTCATCATCCTCATCTTCCTCATCATCATCCTCATCATCCTCATCATCCTCATCCTCAACCTCATCATCATCATCCTTGTTGTCTTTGTCATCCTCATCATCATCCTCATCATCCTCATCTTCCTCATCATCATCCTCATCATCCTCATCATCCTCATCCTCAACCTCATCATCATCATCCTTGTTGTCTTTGTCATCCTCATCATCCTCCTCATCATCCTCACCTCAACCTCATCATCACGCCTCATCATCATCATCCTTGTCGTCCTTATCTTCCTCATCATCATCATCCTCATCATCCTCATCCTCAACCTCATCATCATCATCCTTGTCATCTTCCTCATCCTCATCATCCTCATCTTCATCATCATCCTCATCATCCTTGTCATCCTCATCTTCATCCTTCTCATCCTCATCCTCATCTTCATCCTCATCATCATCATCATCATCCTCATCATCCTCATCCTCAACCTCATCATCATCATCCTTGTCGTCTTCCTCATTCTCATCTTCCTTGTCGTCATCCTCATCATCCTCATCTTCATCATCATCATCCTCATCATGATCATTATCGTCATCCTCGTCGTCCTCATCCTCATCATCATCATTATACTCATCTTCCTCATCCTCATTTCCCGCCTCGTCATCATCCTCATCATCCTTATCATCCTCACCATCCTCATCCTCGTCATCATCATCCTCATCGTCCTCAACCTCATCATTCTCATCCTTGTCATCTTCCTCATCTTCATCTTCCTCCTCATCATCATCCTCATCCTCGTATCATCATCCTCATCCTCGTTCTCCTCATCATCCTCATCCTTATCATCATCCTCCTCATCTTCATCCTCCTTATCCTCATCATCCTCATCCTTATCATTGTCATCCTTGTATCATCATCTTCCTCATCACCTTCCTCATCCTCTGCCTTCCTCATCCTTGTCATCCTCATCATCCCCATCATGCTCTTCATCCTCATCATCCTCATCATCCTCGTCATCATCTCCTCATCTTCTTCATCCTCATCATCATCCTCATCATCATCTTCATCCTCATCATCCCCATCATGCTCTTCATCCCAGTCACCATCCTCTTCATCATCTCTCATCATCCTCATCATCATCTCTCCTCACCATCCTCGTCATCCTCATCATCTTCATCCTCATCATCTCTCATCATCTTCTTCATCTTTATCCTCTTCATGCTCTTCATCCCGGTCATCCTCATCATCATTCTCCTCCTCCTCATCCTTCTCGTCATCACCATCCTCATTCTATGCCTTCATCATCTCCTCCTCGTCATCCTCGTCATCCTCATCATCTTCATCCTCTTCATCCTTGTCATCATCCTCTGCCTTCCTCATTCTTGTCATCCTCATCCTCCTCATCATTCTCATCCTCATCATCTTTGTCATCCTCGTATCGTCATCATCCTCATTCTCATTCTCTGCCTTCCTCATCCTCCTCGTCATCATTGTCTTCATCATCCTCATCCTCATCCTCGCCATCCTTGTCTTCTGCCTTCCTCATCCTCCTCGTCATCATTGTCTTCATCATCCTCATCCTCATCCTCCTCATCATCACCATCCTCATCCTATGCCTTCCTCGTTCTCCTCCTCCTCATCCTCATCATCCTCTTCATCCTCTTCATCCCTGTCATCCTCATCATCCTCGTCATCATCATCCTCGCCATCCTCATCATCCTCTTCATGCTCATCATCATTCTCTGCCTTCCTCATCCTCCTCATCATCATTGTCTTCATCATTGTCATCCTCATCCTCGCCATCCTCTGCCTTCCTCATCCTCATCATCCTCATCCTCGTCATCCTCGTCTTCTGCCTTCCTCATCCTCCTCATCGTCACCATCCTCATCCTGTGCCTTCCTCGTTCTCCTCCTCCTCATCCTTGTCATCCTCATCAGCCTTGTTCTCTGCCTTCCTCATCCTCCTCATCCTCATCCTGAACGTCTTTGGTCTCATCGTCATCATCCTCATCTTCATCATTTTCGTTCTCTGCCTTCCTCATCCTCTTCATGCTTGTCATCATCCTCTGCCTTCCTCATCCTCCTCATCATCATTGTCTTCATCATCGCCATCCTCATCATCATCATTCTGTGCCTTCCTCATCCTCATCATCCTCATCCTCTTCATCATCCTCTTCATCCCTATCATCCTCCTCATCATCATCCTCCTCATCATCATCCTCTTCATCCCTATCATCCTCCTCATCATCATCCTCCTCCTTCTCATCATCCTCTTCATCCCTATCATCCTCCTCATCATCCTCCTCATCATCATCCTCCTCCTCATCATCCTCTTCATCCCTGTCATCCTCATCCTCATCATCCTCTTCATCATCATCCTCTTCATCCCTATCATCCTCCTCCTCATCATCATCCTCATCCTCATCATCCTCATCCTCATCATCCTCTTCATGCTCATCATCATCCTCTGCCTTCCTCGTTGTCCTCACCCTCCTCATCCTCATCCCCTGCCTTCCTCACCCTCCCCATCCTCATCCTCCTTCCTCTTCCTCGTGCTTCCTCCCCTCTTCCTCCCTCCCCCCTCCCTTCTTCCTCCTCTTCCTCCTTTTCCTTTCTTCCTTTTTCTCCTTTTCCTTCCTTTTTCTCTTCCTCCTCTTCCTCCTCTTCCTCCTCTTCCTCCTCTTCCTCCTCTTCCTCCTCTTCCTCCTTTTCCTCCTCTTCCTCCTCTTCCTCCTCTTCCTCCTCTTCCTCCTCTTCCTCCTCTTCCTCCCTGCTCCTTTCCTTCCTGCTCCTCCCTCCGTTCCCACACCCCAGTGTGTCCCTTTCATTCCCAAATCCCAAATCCCCAATCCCCAATCCCAAATCCCAAATCCCCAATTCCCAATCCCAAATCCCAAATCCCAAATCCCAAATCCCCAATCCCCAATCCCAAATCCCCAAATCCCAAATCCCAAATCCCAAATCCCCAATCCCCAATTCCCAATCCCAAATCCCAAATCCCAAATCCCCAATCCCAAATCCCCAATCCCAAATCCCCAATCCCCAATTCCCAATCCCGTTGTTCCGGTGCCGTTCCCAGCATGCCCTGTCCCGTACCTCATATCCCGGTGTTATCCCGCTGTCATCCCGTTGTTATCCCGGTGTTATCCCATTTTTATCCCATTGTTATCCCATTGTTATCCCATTTTTATCCCATTGTATTCCCATTGTTATCCCATTGTTATCCCATTTTTATCCCATTTTTATCCCATTGTATTCCCGCTGTTATCCCATTTTTATCCCATTTTTATCCCATTGTTATCCCGCTGTTATCCCGCTGTTATCCCGCTGTTATCCCGGTGTTATCCTGCTGTTATCCCGCTGTTATCCCATTGTTATCCCACTGTTATCCCATTGAATTCCCACTGTTATCCCATTGAATTCCCGCTGTTATCCCATTGTTATCCCGCTGTCATCCCGCTGTTATCCCGTTTTTATCCCGTTGTTATCCCATTGTTATCCCATTTTTATCCCATTTTTATCCCATTGTATTCCCATTTTTATCCCATTTTTATCCCATTGTTATCCCATTGTTATCCCGTTGTATTCCCGCTGTATTCCCATTTTTATCCCATTTTTATCCCATTGTATTCCCGTTTTTATCCCATTTTTATCCCATTTTTATCCCACTGTTATCCCATTGTTATCCCATTGTTATCCCATTGTTATCCCATTGTTATCCCGTTGTATTCCCGCTGTTATCCCATTGTTATCCCGTTGTATTCCCGCTGTATTCCCGGTGTCGTTCCCAGCATGCCGGTGGTGGTGGAGGACGCCACGTCCTCGGCCAGCGTCACCCTGCGGGTGCAGCCCCACATCACCATCGGCACCCTCAAGGAACAGGTACGGGGACACCTGGGGACACCTGGGGACACCTGGGGACACCTGGGGGGACACGGGGTCACACCTGGGGTCACACCTGGGGACACACCTGGGGTCACACCTGGGGACACACCTGGGGGGACACGGTGTCACACCTGGGGTCACACCTGGGGGGACACCTGGGGGGGGACACCTGGGGGGTCACTGGGGTCACCTGAGGTCACCTGGGGACAGCTGGACACACCTGGGGACACACCTGGGGACACCTGGGGACAGCTGGGGGGACATGGGGACACACATGGGGTCACACCTGGGGACACCTGGACACACCTGGGGTCACACCTGGGGACACACCTGGGGACACTGGGGTCACCTGAGGTCACCTGGGGACACCTGGGGGGACATGGGGACACCTGGGGATACCTGGGGACACCTGGGGAAATACACCTGGGGACACTGGGGTCAGCAGGGTCAGTGGGGTCACTGTGGGGTCACTGTGGTCACACCTGGGGTCACACCTGGGGACATCTGGGGACACCTGGGGTCACACCTGGGGACATCTGGGGACATCTGGGGACACCTGGGGTCACACCTGGGG